AGGGTTGAATAAACATCCAGCCCAACTGGTCCCTCTCCTCCTGCACAATGACTACGGCCGTGACGAGTCCGGAGACGGGGGGGGAAGGAAGACATAGGGACAGACCGAACGACGTCCTCATGGACATGCTTCTGCGGCTCGGTCAATTCTCCCTGCACCTCGATCCTAACCGCCTAGGCGAAACTCCCCCCTCGCCGAATGCCCCTGTCAGGCGACTGCGCTCTGTTTTCACGCTGTCTTGGTCAAGCTCGCCACGGGCAACGGATCACTCCATCGCCAAAAGGGGGCTAGCTGCTCTTATGTGTCGCTGTGCGACAAGATGAAAACAGGTGCCACAGCCTCCTCAAGGGATCCAGGAGGCTGGTGCTCTATTGGCACAAACTTGGCATGTTGGCCTGCCCCAGGCAATCGCCTCCATCTTCGAGGTACACTTCGACGGGTTTGCCAAACGCCCTTTGCTCTTCTGGCCGCTCTGGCGATGTGAGCAGAGGGGAGTGTCCTCATAGCCCTGGATGCGCAGCTGACTGCGGGCGGTCGCGATGTATCCGGTTGGCCGGGGCCAGGCATTGCCCAGACTAGATGTGCGAAGGGTCTCATGGATCCAACCAGCCAAGGCCCTGTCTCTCAGCAAGCCTTGGATGTCGACATCCCTCACACTTGCCAAGTAGTCCCAAGCTGCTTCAAAGCGCTCCCGGAGCAGAATGGCTCGGATCATACACGCGGTACCCGCCGCGCGATGCCGGCCACTAATGCAGTGGAGGAGCACATCCTCACCTCCCCACAACGTATTGCACAGGAGCGGAAACAGGTCGCGCCATTGCTCGTCTCGCCTATCAGGGTGGGCGATAGCGAACTTGCGCAGGGTCGCTCCCTGCAAGCAAATGCCACCCCGCTGCGAAGGCTCCTCAAGCATGCATGCCACTTGAAGAGTGACGGATGGAAAGGCTGATGCTGACCTGTTCGTAGGCAATCCACCCAACCACAACGTGCCGCCACTTTGGACGGACAGCACTTTGGTCGGCGCCTGCGCGCTCTTCCCCCGCACGGTGGCCAAGCGGTCCCACCGCTGGTCGTGCACATTGGGTGTGAACGCGGCTGGGGGCTCGGGCATCTCGAAGATGTCGCTGGGAGCCTCCGTTGCTTCGGCTGCTGCTGCTCGCCATGGTGGAATGACCTCCGAGGCTTTGGGCGCCGCAGCTGTCGCTGCCACCGAGGGCGGCATTGCCTTGGGTGCCACGGGCTGCGCTGGAGAGGGTACTGCCTCAGTGTCCGGGGGTGGCACGGTGCGCAGCTTCTTGGTCTTGGGAGCCGGGACTGGACTCGGGGACGCACTCGGGGAGCGAGGGCCTGCTGAGGACTCATCTTCACTGGAGGTGCTCTCTGGCGATGATGCTCGATGTGGAGCCTCAGGGGCGTCGGCCACGGGGAGAGCGACTGGCTCTGCGGTGCTGGGCACTGCGACGTTCGCCAGCGGGGTGTGCTCGACATCCTCGGCCACCACATAGCGCTTTGCCAAGCAAGCCTGAGCTGGATGCTTCCCTCCGCAGGCACGGCCAGTCTTCAGCACGATGGCACAAAGGTGGGCTTCACCACAGGTCCCCTCGCCCACGTGGCAGGCGTCCAACTGAAAGTTGGGGCATAGCGCCTTGCCGTTCCTCAGGAAACGGGTGACCACCTTGCCATTGATGGAGGGGGGCATCACAGCTTCGGAGCGCTTGGAACTAGCTTGTGCCGCTCTTGTGAGCGCTGCACGCTCTCGCGAAAAAGCGAACGCGCGCTGCGCTGCTGCCACCGACATCGGCTTGTCCCACAAGCTGTGCTTGTCGAGGCTCACCGCCCGCTGCACCTCGGGCTTGGCCGCGTCCACTGCGGCAGTGATGGCGGCTGGAGTTGCCAGTTCCCAGGCATCAAATTCGCCCAACCTGGCGACAAGTCCCAGCGACAGATGTTTGAGCCTCATGCTAACGAGATCACGGCTGCCTGCGTAGTGTGTCGGCATGGCGGCCTCCTGAGGTAGCTCACTCTTGGATTGCCAATCCCCCAAGGCCACCATCTCAACCGGGGTGTACTTGGCCAGCAACGCCACGGTGGGCATGAGCCGGCGCCACGAGTAGGTGGAGAGGTCAGCCACGTCGGTCACAAGGTCCTGGAACAGCTCACGACCTGCGGCTTGCACCTCAGAGATGTCCCACGCGCGGCCTTCCCGATTGAAGCAGAGGCCGCCTTCATCTCGTTGGGCCTCGGGCAACTGGTTCCGAAGGGCCACCACATGCTCTGCCCAGGGCCAGCCATCTGTGAACTGCGAAGGGATGGAGAAGTCGAAGCCATCACGTTTGCTCGCCTGTTTCCCTTTGGGGCAATGGCAGTACATCGTTGAGCGGGACAATCGCACCATCTGAGCACGTTGGACATGCCGGTAGCGTAGTACCCCTACGCCAACGATCCAACTTCCCAGCATCGCAGTCCAGCGAGGGTCCTGTCGGGTGAAGGCTTCCTTGATGCCACGCTCCAAGTGGGTGAGCATGGGCGGCTCGACAACGAGAGCCTGGGATCGCGCAGCGGCCCGCCGGGAGGCAGGTGGATCCAGCACGATCGCATCCAACTGCCACCCCAAATGCCCCAGTTTATTCAACCAGCGAAGCGAGTTCAATGCCCGCTTAGGTCCTTTGGAGCCGGAGGCCAGGAATGACGCCAAATCCAAATGCTCTATCGTAGTCCTATCTCGAGAACGCATAAAGCTGACCAATTCCGACCACGTGCGCACAGCGTTCACCACTGTCTGAGGTTCCGATTTGGTCACTTTGACCTGCGCCAAGCGAGTGAGTTGCAGTTTCCACTCAGCTAGGATCGCATCTGAGAGGTTCCCCACGGAAGGGCGATGAATCCCGGCGTCCTCAAACACCTTGGCCAGCGCTTCCACTCGCCTGTTCACACTGTCAGCACTGAAAGCTTGTTGAGAAAGGGTCACTCCCTTCCGAACAGGCACTGGAGGAGCGGGTAGGTGAAGAGCATGTGCCGGCCTGTCGCGACTCGAGCCGGCTTCCACTGTAGAGGCCGCCAACGGCATCAGCTCCTCAGTCTGCTCGGAGCGGGCCTTGGTCCAAGCATCGGCCAATCCCCGGCCCCCGGCCAACAAGGCCTCTTCCGCTGACCGAAAGGCAAAGGCGAAGTCCGCGTCGTCCAAGAGGTGGTATTGCTCCCTGAACTCGCGAACACGGGCGGCTTGGGCCACTTCAGACGAGGTCTCCGGGTCCCACCTGGAGCTCCCCGCTGACTCGACCGCATAGCGCCCCCTGTCAGCCATGAGCCCTGCAAGGACTATCGCACTAGTCTGAGCCAGAACTGTCGATGCACAACTGGCACTGCCGTGACCAGAAGTTGCAGCTCTCACAAACGATCGATCGACAGACTCGACAGGACTCGAACGTGGGCAGGCGACAAAGGAGGCAGAGGGGGGGGATGTACTCAACGTCATAGGCCACGGCCCCCAGGATCGCACGGATGGATCGGCCTGCATTCGCGACTTCCCGGGGAATACCTGGGGTCCCAACCAGGGACGACCATGGTTCCCGCCATGGCCGCCTCCCCTGCTGCCAAAGCCGAACCAGCTCGAAGAACTCCTCGGTGTCGATGCCATCGTCCCCGTCGTCCAGCCGCTCCACGGCCAAACCAACGTGGACCGGCAAGATGTCCAACGGGCCCAGGTCAAAGGCAATCCACTGCAGCGCCAAGCGGTCCAAGCGCGCCGCAGAGGCATGGTAACGCTGCCACGCGACCGCTGGCCCAAGTCCCTCTTGAACCAGCAAGCAGCGGCGGTTCCACACGCCCACCCATGGGAACTGGAAGCCGCCCCGACGGTCGGTGCACCTTGCACACGGAATGGTGGTACATACGAACCGACGAACCGGGGGGAACCCAGCGATGGAGAGGGGTTGCCCTGGAGACCCCAGATGCACCAACTCCACCACGGAGGCCCAGAGGCGCAAAGCTTCCCGCTCGCGCCCCTCAGCAACCAGCTCCTGAAGGTGAGCGCTGAACTCCATCCACGCGGCGGGATGGATTATGTGGTACCTGGTGTAGGCAGCAAGGCTTGTTCCCAACTCGCTCATGGGAAAACAGGGTCCCTCCCTGCACAAAAAAAGAACTGTCTCTCCAAGGGTTCCGCCCTCAAAAAGAGAGAACAAACGCTATTTTGGCCAAGTCACTTGAGCCAAAACATTCGTTGGTTCAAACCTATGGCAGTAATGAATACATGTTCACCCAAGCCTGCCAGACCTGAAACATGTTTATAACTAATGATTTTATGATTTTATTTTGCATGAATAGTTTCTGTCGTTATATAAACATTGGTGAGGAAGTTGCTGTATTTGGAAGTATCGATTCCGTGTCAGGTAGCGTAGATTTAATGATTTATCAGTTCCGTGCTGTCCGTCCAGCTGTGACACGGTGGGTCACCGTGGACCTCAGACGAGCGTTTCAGAAAAAAGAAGAAAGGCTAAGACTACCGTGTTTTCTACCTCTTAAAAAGGACATGTTCAACTTTTGCGGAAGTGGTCCTTAACTTTGTCTAATGTGCATACCGATTCATAGCCTTTGGGTTTCTGAAGCTTCGCCATTCCGAGCGCTAAGGAAAGGGAGCGAGTCACTTCTTGGGTGTTGCACGGGCCAACCTAGGAGAAAAGACCAGCATAGTAGCTTCTTGTTGCTAGTAGGAAGGCCAGGAGCTACTAGTAGCTTCTGGCTCCTAGTAGCGATGCCAGGAGCCCCTATATGTCCACCCTAGTTCAGGCTTTCATCCTCACGTTCATTGTGTTGTCCCTCCCCCCACAGCACATGCGTAAAATGATGGCAGGTAAGCTGCGTAGGCCGTGGCTCAGGACCTTCTGTTTAATGAGACTAACAAGAAGGCTATTTGGTTGGAGGCCATCGCTACTAGGGTGGAGGCCATCGCTATTAGGTTGGATGCCATCACTACTAGTAGCAAGAAGCCAAATACTTAATTACATTGCATTGTAGATCTCCTGCAAGCGGTAGCTCATCCCCAAAATGCGGTTGAGGAATTTCTTCAGTGTGGTTGCATCCTGATCTCTGCCTGCCGGGCAGAAGACAAACAATTGATCCGCAAATTCCAAAGGAACCATGGACCATCGACATGGCACCGCCTAGAAAGACCTGCTGCTTCTCCAACGCTACCTGCGCTGCTGTGGCAAACTCCTCCCAGCCTCAGGCACAAAACTTGACGCATAACTGGCACCTGACATCGGTTTCCACCAGTCGTCTCCAGCATTTCAAGGCAAGTGTCCTCCTGGCCACTTGGCCAAACTCAAACGAAGCTGCTGCTTTTGGGCCACCAAGTCGGCCAAGGCCTTTGAAGCCAATCGGGATCGGGAGAGGTTGATGCCCAAATCCAAGGCAGCAACTTGTTTTCTGAATTTTTGGGCCTTTGCTCCCCATGGTGTTTTGAAATAAAGGACGTAACAACAACAACTTAACGGCAAGGATAACCGACTGCAGCTATACATCCACCACTTATTGTTCTTTTTCGCTACTATGTTGGAGGCCATTGCCAGTAGGGTGGAGGCCATCGCTCTTAGGTTGCAGGCCATCGCTACTAGTTTTATTCTCTTTGACCTGAACTGCTGTTCCTTCCTTGTCTTTGTTGCTACTGCTTGCGCGCCTTAGAAAGCGCCCGGGGGCCATAGGAGCCACTCATCAAATCCATCCGACCAAAGCCAAACGCATCGCTGCCCGAGCCAAAGCCTGGCCAAAGAAAAAGGGCCTCTTTATGGATACACATGTGAAGAAAAAAACTGCTGGTGACTGTATATGTCGGGAGACATCAGGAAGATATCATCTGAACACACTGCTGTAACACTCACCAGTGACATATTTTCAATACATATATATATATATACTCATATATTCAATATACATATATTCATAACTATACTTATTTGTATACCTGAATAAACACACTCTGACAAGTGTATTCAGTTAACTCAGTTCCCCAAGGAAAGGAATGGCACAACGGTAAGGTGAGGAGTCCGATCAATGGTAGATGTTTGAACAAGTGGTTTGTGCCATCTGCAGGCTCGCGACAGCAGCGGACGAAACGGCGGCGCAGCTGCTGGGGAAGAGTAGGTTTGGGGGAAGTATCGTGAAACCACCGTGAAACAAACCGAGAGTGGAACAGCTTGAGCAAACTTTTCAGTTGCAGGTACACGAATGGACGTCTCCATTCGCTTCCCCTCCAGCGACTTAGCTTCGTTGGACAAGGTTCGTCGCTGGAGGCCTTGCCCCCCTGCTTCTGCTTGGAAAACTGGTGGAAGTGGGAGAGAGGGTGAACCCTTTGTCCAGGGGGTGACACACACAAACAGCCGATTCCGGCGCAAGTGTGTAGAAAGTTGGAGGTGGAGCTTTGTACAGAAAGCGCCAATATTGGCGCTGCGAAAACTAATAGCCACCTAAAAGCCTTAGAAAGACAGACAAAGCAAACAAAACAAAAGCAGACTAAGAGGGTAAGAAAGAAAGATAGGGGTAGTTACGAGGGCCACTTAGTTGAATGAAAGTAGTGCGCGAGCGGGACATTTGGCTGAAACTGCCCGGGTAGGTAGCAATAGGCTGGGAGAAACAGAAGGAAAGGCACCAACACACAAGTGTGTTGAGTGCGATTTCCTTCTGTTTCCCGAGTAGCGGGTGGGGTAGCAAAGGAGGCCCCCTGGGTAGGGGGAAAAAAGTGCACAATTAATTTGTCCGGCCTGTGAATACTTAGCAGCACATGCACATGTGAATACTTAGCCGTCAAACATCTCAGGTCAGATTGCTTAAGTGCATATGCAAGATCAGCGGAAAAAACATGCAGAAAAATGCAAACGCTGCAAACGCTGCAACACTATCAGTTCCCGTGGCGAGGCCCGGCGGCCGTTGTGGCAGTTAATTCGGTGGTTGTGGAGGTGACTTCCAGTGGAGTTCCTGTGAAAAGTGGTGAGGTCAGTTAGTGCTTGCACGATGAGACAGCGCCCCAATGACGGGGATCACACTCAGCACCCGAGTGGGACGGCTGAGCGAAACACACTCTGACAATTGTATTCAGTTAACTCAGTTCCCCAAGGAAAGGAATGGCACAACGGTAAGGTGAGGAGTCCGATCAATTGTAGATGTTTGAACAAGTGGTTTGTGCCATCTGCAGGCTCGCGACAGCAGCGGACGAAACGGCGGCGCAGCTGCTGGGGAAGAGTAGGTTTGGGGGAAATATCGTGAAACCACCATGAAACAAACCGAGAGTGGAACAGCTTGAGCAAACTTTTCAGTTGCAGGTACACGAATGGACGTCTCCATTCGCTTCCCCTCCAGCAACTTAGCTTCGTTGGACAAGGTTCGTCGCTGGAGGCCTTGCCCCCCCTGCTTCTGCTTGGAAAACTGGTGGAAGTGGGAGAGAGGGTGAACCCTTTGTCCAGGGGGTGACACACACACACACACATATATATATATAGCATATATATCATTATATCTCTCTATTCCTTCGTTGGCCTTCGTGCGGCGCTTCTCTTCGCTCACGTTTCACTGGGCGCCCGGACCGCTGTGGCGATCCCCACGCGTCATTGCGCCCAGCTGCACGAGACGCTTCGACACGGCAGAGACAAAGCGCGCCTCGCCCGCCAGGTCGGTCACCTCGACAGCGGCATGAAAGCCAAGCTCAGTTTGGCTTCCAACCCGTGTTTCTAATAGCAAACATTGTTACTACTAGTAAGGCACCTGTTACTACTAGCGATGCACTTGTTCCTAGTAGCTTATTGTTCCTACTAGCACTGCTAGCGCTTCATGAAGCCAACTTTCCATCTCTGAGGCGCAATGCAAGTAAACTTGGGCGGATGCAGCTGGTTCGATCGATGAACTCTGCCGAGCTGTTGCACTGCCTTGTCAGCTGCCCAGGGCAGCTCCAAGCAAATCATATGTCGTCTGCGCGGCCGAGCACCTCCAAGATTGAAACGAACACACGCCTTAAAAGATCCTTTACAAGACCCTCCTTCACTCTTATAACTGTTCTAGATTGGAAAAACCCACATGTGCACTGGACTTGAAGCTTTGGGAGTCTACCCGAGGCCATGCATCGAACCCCCCGACCTCTGAGGAGTTCCCGCCGGTCGCTGTGCAGCGAGATGCCCGCGGAAGCTGCTTCGGTGATCACGGCGAAGACCTACCGATGGCTCGAGCCATGCGCACCAACGTGCCAGGCGAAATGGCTCGAAATGGCTCGTTTCGGGGACATTTGTCTAAGAAGGCTCAACATGGCTCAACCAGCCCCTAGATCTGAAACGCATTGCTCATGGCACGAGCGCCGAAAGGTTTTCAGGCAAGAACAATATGAACGACGATGACTCAACGCCTATACTGACTATATAATGATCCGATTCTTGGCAACTCGACTGCGCCAACAGCTCTTAGAATGCTTTCCTCGCACAAGCCTTGGCGCCACTTTGAAAGGCACGTTGCTCACCGACGTTCACGGAAAGAGAAGAATGTCCTCTGCTTCCAGCTCCGTTCGCTTTGCCTCATCCCGCTTTTGCAGGAACATGCTTCCCACCACTATAGCTTGGAGGCTATCGCTCCCTTACGTTCAACTGGACGAGGACTCGGGTCACACGGAAATCGCCAAGGAGCGCGAATCTTTGGTCACCCGGCGCTGCTGTCGCTTCACCTCTCCAGTGGTGGGATCCTGTCTCAGTCTCAGTGAGCCAACGAATCTGGAAACATGTCGAAGAATTATCGGTCATCACGGCGGATTCTGTATTGATATAGTAGCCGTTTTTTTTTGTCATCTTTTCCCAGCAAATCCAGCAACATTCGCCCCGAAGTCCCATATATACACAGCATCTGACAGGTATCGGCTGCTAGTCGTTGTATGGGAAGTGTTCTACTATGTTCTACTTCTCCAGCACAGATTGGGCCAAGTGATTCAGTCTCTAAAGAAATCAGTCACACAACTAGGTTGGAGGCCATCGCTATTGGAAACAAAGAACATATAAGAAAAGGAAGAAAAGAAAGTCACACAAAGCCTCCTTCAGCCCTATTTCACTCCGCCTCCTTCGGCCCTTTCAGCATCCGAACCCTGCCCTCCGTCCTTGAGGCTCCTCTGAGAGCGCCCGGACATTTCCGCCACGCAGGACGGCCCACCGAGCTGGCTGATCAAATCGTCCAGGGGATTTGGTGGCCTCAGCAAGGTGCAGTGCAGCGCCGAGTGAAAGCATCAAAGGAGAGATACCAAAGAAAAGATGGATCGACATAATCGCTATATATATATATTTCATACAACAAGTTGAATTTGACTAGGATTTCTATGAATCGTGACCTTGTCTCGCAAATTGAGCATAATCGCTTTGTCAAATTCAACCACTTCACAGCGAAGCCAAGGCTGCTAAGGCACAATCTCAAATCATGAAGCCGTTTGATCAAGCTTTCCACTCCTTGCGCTGCAAATGTGACCTCCTGTACGGCGTCTCAGGAAAGCCAACCAAAATGAAGTTAAGACATTTCAAGAAACACACACAAACTGAATGAAAAAGCGAGTGCCGCCAAGCTGTGCCTGCCCGTTTTTGGTGGTTGGAAGATGTTGCAAAAACCTCAGAACTTTCTGGCAGGCTTGCATTCAACGCTTGCAAGAAAGCGTACTTGTTGAGCCCGAGATCTTGGACAAAAGTTTCAAGGATTTCTTGCCAACTAGTCATGCAAGGAAAAACATTTGCAACCAAGTGCTTTAATTCAGTTGTATCAGTTGTATTGGATCTTAAGACCCACGCTGCTCAAAGGTCAGCTCCGGTCCCGAGGCAAAGCCAGAGATTTCAGTCCTTGGATCGTGGAGGCTGCGGCTGAGGTGGTCGCGATTTTTACAAGTCTGGGAACCCAAACAGGAGAACACAACAATTAGGTGTCTTTTTCGTTTCTGCCTGGTCACAACCAAAAAAAACACTGCCTTTTTGGGAAAGACGCGGTAACGGCATTTTTCTTGAAAAAAGAAACTCTTTGTTTTGGGGGGGGGGTGCCATTTTGAAGATCCAGGTATGAGAGCACACACAGCAAAGGACATACTTGACAGTACACACGTGAGAGCTCACATTCGCCTGTGAGCACAACTTCAACAGCAGCACTCACAAAATTCCAGCAGCTTGTCTCGCAGATCCTCTCATAAATGAGGTAGAGCACGCATCTCTCTCAAAATGTGAGAAGACACGCACACACAGAATCGCATCTGCCAGTGGTAAAGAGCAGAACTTCAAAGCCACACAAACGAGGAGAGCCGTTCGAAATGCAAAAAGTGCTGCCTGTCAACACTTGACATCTGTCAACATCGAGGCTCACAAAAACGGTTTCGCTTGCAATCCACAATTTCAAGTTTTTCAGTGCTGCACCTACCACGAAATCAGCGCATCCCAAAAGTGCTGCGGCAGAACCAAAGCCAAGGCACTTTCGGCTTCGAGATAGGCCTCTTTCACAACCACCCTTGTACTACAAACCAACATTTGTCCGTCAAAGGTAAGCGATCGGTCTGCGACGACCGCATGGCGGGCAGACTGCACGCGAATGACTGGCTTCGTGGTTTCTTTTTGATCTGTTTTGCCGAGGGAGGTGGTTTCTTCAATCAACCCTTTGCCTGATTGATTTGGTCACTTGATATGTTTCAAAGGAAACTCAACTTTGGCTTCTTTTCTTCTCCCTGAATGCTTGAAGAACCTCTTCCGGTGCAAACAAGACCATACTTTCAGGCGTGGCACTTCTGTATTGCAGCTTCATTGGTGGTCCACAATGAAATGACAACCGCTTCACCAGCCACTGCTGCCTTTTTCGCCAGCTCCACAGCTTTGGAGACTTTAGCAGCCACCAGCAGGCCCTTGAAGAAGCCTCCGCCAAGAGTGTCTTGCAGCTTCGGCGTTCGATGCGTTTCAGGTGTTTCCGGTAATTAAGGGGTAGGTAGGGGGAATTCCGGACTGCCATACCGCCTTCAAGACAGTGTCCTTGTCAAGCAAAAATTCCAATTAAAACGATCTATGACATGGGTTGCCAGGGGTGTGCTTGACCGAAAGGCGCATCGCTCTTCGGCTCACGGGTCGCATAAAGGAGACATCAAGGACGGACGCAGTGGCAGTGAAGCAACTTGTGCACAAGAAGAATGTCAAGTGCTTTGAAGTCCCAAGCAGTGTCTTGAAGCTTGTTCCAATCTGTTCCAACCAGCGTCTGTTCAAACCTGCCCTAAGCATCCTGCGCAAAAAAGAAAACGTTCGATCTGATTCGATCTGGCAGTTTCAAATACACTTTGAATTTTGGGCATGGTTAGGGAAAGGGAGTTTCAATCCTTTTCCATGGTTGTGAGTTTTTGGCTAAGGGTGAGTGATAGGTTTCCATGAGACAAATCAATTAAAATTCGATTGGTTTTGAGATAGGCCGGTCTTTCAATCAAGAATCGCCAACCTAAGAGCGATGGCCTCCCACAAATGGTCAAGCATAGTTAAGCGCTTCTTCAAGGCCAGGAGCCGACCTACGATCGCCCTGCTGTTTTGCATCTGTTCCACCAGTGAGCAAGTCCAAGACCAAGGCACTACAGGTGCAAAAGCATGGCGCTATTGTTTGCTGCCTATGGCCTACGCTAAAAATGGAAAAACATATTGCTCCTCACGTGAGAAAAAGTCATTATTCATTCAACAAAATAGTGTCTTTCTTGATTTGTTGGCTCGATGTTTTTTGTTCGCTCGATTGTCTAGAGTTCTTGCCTAATACGACGACTGATCCCAGAAGTCGTTGCCTTCGCTTGCCGGCACAGAAGCGGGTGCAAGCAGCTTGTACTTGCAGTGCGTTTCTTGAGCGGTTGGTGCTGACAATGCTCCACACTACGTTCGAGCCTAGGCGCGCACCTCCGGCCATCGGCGGAAGCGTCCCTGAACACACTCAACCGGTCAACCTGGAATACCTGTTGCAGTGTTGTTGGCTTCGCTTGCTAAATCGGTGACTGTGGCCTTGTCGAAACCCTTGCATGGGGACCTAGTTCCATGGGGGCGTTGTCCAGAAGAGTCATCTTGTCTTGCATGTCTTACTATGTGTGAGTGGCCACTGACTTCAAGGGACCTCACACCAGTTCAGTGCTCCAAGCTCTTGTCAAAGCTCTCCAGCTTCCTTTCCGCTTTTTTCCTCCGTCTCGGTCTTGGATTTTGTGGCTGTATTGTTTCTGGGGAGTGGCGAAGCAATGAACGTGACCGATCCAGAAACTTGTTGTGAAGAGCCAGGCCAAGTGCTTCTGAGGCACAATGTCCATGAACTTTTGGCCGGACAATCGAGCCAAAAAGTGATGTCCGGCAATGCTCGGCCACAGCATGGTGCTAGCTGTTAACCAATCGGCACAGCAAAGTGTAACGAGTGGTGGCATCACCAAATCAAGCTGAGTTGAAGTCATGGCATGGGCAAGTCAAGCATAGTCAAGCCAGGATGAAAAAGGTCAACAAAAGCTAAGCACTGCAGTCGGCCCAGTTAACAGGCAGCAAGCGCCGTGCTAAGAGGAACCATGGGGCGCCTGCACTTCAAAACCTTTCGCACTGACTAGTGCGCCATGTTTTACATGTTTTTGCACATGAGTTTCCTCTGAGCGGGAGTTTACCTCAACCGGGGGCAGCAAAGCTCAACTGGGGCACACTTGCTTACTGGCACGTCCTCTGCCCTGCGCGTACGCTCAACCAGAAGCCCTCCGGCACAAAAACCGGGCCACACAAACGGGGTCTTCAGGCACTCAAAAGCAGGCTTCTTGTAAGAAGTTGTGTGCAACTAGTGTCCCAGACCTAATGATAAAACAGAACTTGACAGAACGCACACACACACAAATAACCACATGAACAGCAACTGAACAACATGTCTTGTTGGAAGCTCTGAAGTCTTGATCCCATGCCAGGCAGCGCTGCTGAGCTGCCCAAAACTGTGTTTCAATTATTTTTCGGCTGCTCTCATCGAACATGTCCATGTCCTTCAGCAGTTCCACATGTTGCCGCAAGTCTTCCCAAAGCTCACTGGAAGAATCGTACCTGGCAGTCTTCTCCAAACACGAGCTAATGAGCTATTTAAAGGACTTACATGCTAACATAATGTTGACCTCCTATTTGTAAATGGCCCGTGAATAATACTAAATCTTTTCTGGACCTTGATTTTCAGCTGCTTCCAGACCTTGATTCATCCAAGCTGATTCTGAACTTTCAGCTGATTCCAAAACCTGATTATTTTGTGGTTTCCTTTACTCTTGAATTTTGATTTGGCTGCTGCATTTTCCTTTTAAACTTGCTTATTTGGGCATTGCCATTTGTAACCTGACATCAACCCACAAAGACCACCCCCCACGAGCAGCCCAAACCTTCAATTACTCCAGACCTCAAATAATACTAAACAATCCCTGGCTGGTTCTTTTCGTGATTTCCTTTCCTTTCCTTTCATTGTCCTTTCCATTTCCTTTCCTTTCATTTCTTTCCCTCTCCTTTCATTGTCCTTTCAATGTCCTTTCCTTTCCTTTCATTGTCCTTTCAATTTCCTTTCCTTTCCTTTCATTTCTTTTCCTTTCCTTCAATCTCCTTTCCTTTCCTTTCATTTCCAATTCAAATCAAGATTTTCTGGGATTTTTCTGGATTTCACATTATTTGGGGCCCACATTTGATCAAGGGGGGAGGGGGGGGGGGGTTTTAATAAGAGGCCCACATTATGCCAACATATGAGAAGGCGCCCTAGGTCAGGAACCAACCATCTCCAGCAATGGTCTCCACCCCAAGAGCGCGATCCAAGGCACTGCTGTAGCTGTTCGGATGAGAAATGTGCTGTGACGAGTTGGAACTCGGTGCCCGAGAAGGACAAGGATCGACAGGACAAAGCGCCACACAGGCGAAGCTGCACGGCGACCAACTCCATCGCAGTGACACCTTTCTCCACCACCTGTCGGTCAAGAGCTACTAGTAGCTTCTTGCTACTACAGGTGAAATCTTGTTACTACTCTGTCGGTCTTACAATATCCCATTCGTTCCATTTTTGGTGGACCTACGCTGCATAGAAAGTAAATCGTTTCTTCCAGAAGTCCATTAAAGTTAAAACTACTTACTCCTACTTCAAATAAGGCTGCGCTTGGTTCTCAAATGTTGGAACAATTGAAACACAAAAAATACGGCCGCTTCGTACTTGCGCATCATGGGCCCAGTGCCTCCACCACGCGAGCGGGTACGGATGTAAGAAAACAAATGCACACAGTATGAAACCAAAGGAGCCCCATTCGTAGCGTCCTTGCTCCTAGTAGCGATGCTAGGAGCCCCTAGTAGCTTTTTGCTCCTAGTAGTAAGGCCAGGAGCTTCTAGGATAGAGCAACTTTTGGCATATACAGTTGAATAGATTGAGCATCCAATTGTGTGCCGTGTGGCGGAAGAGTGTCGAACATATTCAATGATATTGGCATTGTATGCACGTCGAATCAACCTGAAGATTTGGGTGAACTAGTGAATGGTGGTTTGGTGGTAACGCGACTCCAATTTTCCGGATCAGGATCCTGACTCTTCTTGCAAGGCACATGTGGCTGTGGAACTGAATGCTGAATTCAGAATCTTCCTCTCATGATGGGCTGCAGTTTTGTCCTTGTCTTATAGGGCTGTACGAGGATGATTAAGGGCCGAAAGGTACTTCGAAACTACAAAAGTGTTTGATCTCCTTGTGGTCGACACCAAACGTCATGCTCCCGACACTCTCCGTGAAGAGTACGACGATGAGTGTTACGTGCTTGAACTGCGGCTTCAACACTTTCTTGCAAAGAAAGAATGCAAGAAAAACACAAAGACTGGGCCTTCCGGAAGGAGGCAAAGTTTGGGAACGGTGTCTGTACCGCCTTACTGCCTTGCTTGGCCAGCTGTGCAGGGCCAGGGTGACCGCCGCGACTTCCACTTCCCCACAAACCAAGCCGCACCATGTACTGCATATGTGCAACTTCGGTGGCACCCGTGGCAGTTGCGTAGAGCAATGGACAGTTTGCACATTCCGCTTGCAACTGCTCAACCAATGCTGCGCACCGTGTGCCGGCATCCAAATTCTTGGCTTTGTGGGCCTCATCCAGTACCAATAAGCCGCTCCCAGACGGATGGTGATGGCGTAGCCAGGCTAAAAGCTGTTGGAAACGTGAACTCCCACCATTTCGTCCTTTCGAATTCGCGTGTGATTGAGCATTTGAGCATGGTTTAAATGGTGTGGAACACTGAGGTTCAAACGTTTTTTTTTTTCATGTAACGATTTCTATAGCAAACCATTTGCATCATTCGTCCTGCAGAGACCAGCAGGGAGTATGTCAGAAACAGCACCCCGTCCTCACGATCGCTGAAAAACATCTGCAAACGACATCTTCGGCAAGTCATAAAGCCATGTGAACCACTGCGGCACCTCCCTTTTAAAGGGGCCCCATATCAAAGGGCCCTACTTAGCTTTTACTTATATGTCCTTCAGCTCGTTTTTCAAGACTACTATATAAGTCGCCCCCCTCTTCTTTGCTTGCAACTTCTCCCCACTCACTCTCGCCAGGGGCTCTCGCCGTCCCTGATTCTTAGTGACACCACAATGCTTACGGTCCTTCGTCTTGCCAAGTTTTGACAGCTCAGGATCAGACTTGTCTGAATCCAAGTTCCCTCGCGCTTTCACCCGCGCTAAATTGCAAATTGGAATTCCGGTCTTCAAATCCTCACCACAAGCAACGAAGCAAATCGCTTTCTGCATGCTACAAATTCTAACACCTTGGACCCTAGAGGCAATAGACCTTGAACTCTGAGGTCTTGAGAGCCCCGTTCGTGGCGTCCGAACGCTCCTAGTAGCGATGCCCTTTGCTCCTAGTAGGTTCTTGTTCCTAGTAGTAAGGCCAGGAGCCCCGTTCGTAGCGTCCCTATCAGCATGACCAAGATTTTCTGACAGCTTTCGTCAGATATTGCCATATTGACTGCATTCAGTCCTGGAGATCTCGAACTGCGTCTTGGTACAAGTCACTGTTAGCAGACATCCAAATGTGCCTGCGGTTTCCCCTGTTCCACTGGTCCAGGATCAAAGCAGCAATGCAACGGCCTGGCTAAGGCAGTCCAAAGGCAGATGATGGGGCATGTTGGAATCTTTTTTGATGCTTGGAGCATGGGACATGTAATTGAGTGTCATCATCAAATTCAACATTGAACTTGGTGCCGGCCCGCGATTAGAGAATGTAATGTAGTGTCTTGCAAGACCGTGCCTGTTTGAGCATACTGCTAGCAGCTACTACAACTACTACTACCACTACGACTACCGCTACGACCAACCACCACGACCACGAAAAACGCCGACGACGCCGACGGCTACTGCTGCTACTACTACTGCTGGGTCCTGGACACATGACTGGGGTCGATCCACTCAACAATGCAGAAGTCACAGAAGTTAATTAATCAAGTTGAGACTGCTCTCAAAACGACATGCCCATTTTTGGCGTTGCATACTAAGTTTGCTTGATCAGGGTTAATGTTGACAGCCTTTGCCGCAGCCAGTGCCATCTCCAAGCAGGAAACCACATCGAGCACCAGTAGAGAGGCTGCAGCGGAAGCGCCGAGCAGCCAAAGCAATCGCCTGGCGGCTGTTGGGCCCAAAGAGGACAGAAGGGCAAACTGCGACCGGACAACGACAGGACAACGCGAGGGGAGCACGTGAAGAGGAGAACGCAGAACCAGAGGAAGAGAGGACAAGAGAAAGACAGGTAAGGCTCCGGTGCCAACTGACAAACACGGGGTCGCGGAGCCTCAAAAGCAAAGTCAAAGCGGCTCGCTCACGACGTAAAGAGGGGCTAAGGATCCTTCGGGTGGTCAAAGGCATCGCTACGTTCGTAACAAAGAGCATGACTAGTAGGAGCATTCTTGCTACGAACGGAGCAAGAGGACTGGGAACAAAGGACATCGCTACTAGGAATAAGAGGGTGGTCAAAGGATGCGGACATGCGAACTCTGAAGCATCAACTGGTCACGATCGGCTAGCTCGATGTTCACAATATAAGACTTTCACGGAAAAGTTCCTCAAGTCTTTCAGGGAATGACTTAATTTATGAAAACAAATAATCTAAATAGAAACAACCAAAGTCTGAAAAAGGTCTAAAAACCTTCAGGGAAACAAAGATTTCCAAAGAAAAGCAAAAACACACGCCCTAGAGAAACATAAGAACATATAAGAACAAACAAAGTCACAGAAAAAAGTCTAAAGACTTTCGGGAAAACATTTCTCAATTCTTTCAGGGAATCACATGTCTAAAGTCAATGAAGACTAACGAGCGTGCACCATGCACGCTGTGGGCAAAGGAAAGGCTACACGTCAGTGCAGCTCCAAAATCGAAACCACAGATTGTATCCCTAAGTCATGCTGTCATGGATGCTGACCATTGCAATTTGCAAATCCAAAGGAATAACCCAATTTGCACCCAAAAGTTGAGGCCAGCTGCAGGGATCAAAGGATGCGTGATCTTCCGTGCCAAGGGGTGCTGTTCTTCTCCCTTTAGGAAACTGCTTCAGCCAATCAATAGATAATCGCGGAACCTGTTGCAGTTTGCCTGTTGCTAAGAAATGCTTTAAAAAACAAGGTAGCCTTCTCAATGAAATAATTTGTGTGTCTAGTGTTTACCAGCATGACATGGCAAGACTGAGGGCAAAAAATATGCAAAAAGAACAATAACAAGAAAGAAAGCCTCAAAGTCTTAATTATTATCATACTCTCGTTGGCCTTGGCCTTTACTTGCGCTCTTTGCGAAAACGAATGCAAGTTGGAGGTCTTCGTCACCCAGTGAATGCACACAAATCACAAAAACAGCTAATGAACCTGCTCTTTTCCATTGAAAGCGCTCTTGCAAAAAGGGTGTGAGTGTAAAGGACCAAGGTGGGAAGTACAACCTCAGGACCCTCAGGAACCTGTAGCGTTCCTTATCTATATAACCCAAACCCGAAAGCGTGCACCAAAATGACGGTCGTTGAAGCGGGTTCCGAAGCCTCTAGCTGGGGAGAAGAAAGTAAACCTTCCTTCACGAGCCGCTGCGGAATCCGCACTTCATCCTTGCAAGGCTTCAGGTTTAGAACCAACCTTTCTACAACTTCTTGGCATTCATTTACTCTATTTCATTGATTTCTTGGCATTTACTCGTCCAAGTGGTTTCAGTTTGCCTGAGTCTTCACAGGTTGATGGCATGGCTTGATCGTGCTCTCCTCCGGCCCGAAAGGCTCTGGTATCGTGTCCCTGATGGCTTGTGGCTCACACAGTGGGTCTGGATGGCTCACACCTGCGATCGACTCCGGAAGGCAAGTGAAGCCAAGGACGTGACGTGCCTAGGTCATCAGGTAGCAAGGAGCTTCGCTGGAAAAGGACGGTCTTCTGTCGCGGTGCTTCCCCATCTGCATCCTCCTAGAAATTTGCTACTAGGAACAAGTGCATCGCTACTAGTAACAGGTGCCTTACTAGTAGTAACAAGGACGCTACTAAGAACAAAGGGCATCGCTACTAGTAACAGGTGCCTTACTAGTAGTAACAAG